GCTTGACCATGTGAGCACCTGAATGCAAGACCATTCACTTGACAAGTGGACTTTAGGTTTCACCTAAAAATGTAACCTTTTAACAACATCTACAAATAATTATTATTTTCTGCTAACAAGTATACAACTTTTTATCAAGCCTGGAAAGTAAACTTGAGCATGTAAGGGAGCAGTGTTTATTCATAGTAAAGACTTTTGGAACTTATTTTGACTCTCCAGAACCCCAGTTTCTCAAAAGGTGTGTTTTTCAATTGTTCGACTATTTACTCCTGATAGACGCGTTTTAAACTTCTCGAATCTGCAATTGTATGTATGTCTGGTTATTACGCCATACGGATTCACAGTAAGTCTATTAAACGGTTAACTATTATACCACGCTACTCATAAGTAGCGTGTTTTATTTGGCGCAAACTGAGCAAACGACATTTTAATTATGAGACTTGAAGGTATTATGAATGTTCCCTAAATTGTCATGATGGAGCCAGTATTTGCAAGAATGCCTCTAACGCATGCTGATTTAAGGATTTAGTGTGGCCAATTAATAAAAAGGCCGTACTAAAAAAGGTCAGCATTAAATGGCACAAATGAGAAAGTTACATGGCAACTGTGACGATAGTTAAAATATGAGCTGCTTTACATTATACCACAAATAATCCGCAAGAGCAATTCATTCTCCAACAGACTAGTCCACACATTCACAAGAATTGTGCAGCGCCAACAATACTGGTAGGCTACAAATAAAAAATCTTTGAATCATATATTTGCTGTGCTTTTTTTTGTATTTTTTTAATGTTTTTAACTTAATATATGTACATATATTTTTATACATTATACATAACTATATTATAATGACCTCAAATAGGATTTTGAATATTTTTTATCATATTTTTGTCATTATTTTTTGTATTTATTGTATTGCATTATATTATTTGTATTATAGCATTTATTGCATTTTATGCAAAGTTTTTATGTTTGCTTATATTTATATTTATAAAAATTTACTTGTGGCACTATGAGTAGTCATAGTATAATCCACATTAAAAATGAGATAACTCGGTATAAGTTGAAGTGATTGCGCTTATGGCTGGTACCATCTTTTGTGAAGGCTACCTCGAGGACAAGTACCAGGGCAACTGTGTTCTCGACGTCTGTGCCGACCGGCCCGACTACTGCCAGCACAAAGGCGTCTGCGTTGCCGAGCTGGCTGATGGCGTGACGACGCCGAGTTGTGTCTGCCCCGAGGGTTTCACGGGCCAGCGCTGCGAGAAGTTGTTGCCGCCCAACTGGCCGCCCACGACTTCGTATCTCGCCAGCCCGACGTACAGTTTCACGTTGCCGCAATTGGCGTCAGAAGCCTCGCTCTTTTTCGACTGGCCCGACGCCACATCGACACGACAAAGTGACGCTGACGACGAGACTTGGCCGAATCTTTCGCGTCCACCCGTCACCGGGACAACGGCCACCGCCTCCGTGACGCGTCAAGGCTACGTCGCTTCGACGCAACCGAGGCCCGGTGATGCCGAATGGCCAGAGCTCGTCACCTCCAAAAGTCAACGGCTGCGAGCCTCTTCGACGCCGACGGTCACCGAAAAGTCGGCGTCGGCCATTTTTGCTGATTTTTCGTCGTCCCTTTCAGCTGCTCAGGCCTCAGACCGGCCGGCCCAAGCGTCGGCCTCCTTTGCCGACGACACCGACTGGGCCAACGACATGTCTCCGGGCGAACAAGACGAAGAGAAGATGGTCAAGGCCACTCCTATTCAGGTGGGTCCGTTAGTCTCTTTGAGGCAAACAGAGCTCCACAGATTTTTTACCATTCCATTAATGGATATTATCGGAAAATTGCAACCCCACCAGACAGTCTATATGAATAAACATGGCCGGAAGAAGGCTGACGTCGTCGCATAGTCGGCTTTTTTAATTTTGTGCAAGTTGGCATTATTTGGCAGTGAATAGTTAATTTCTATCTAGGACACTACTTATAAATGTTTAAGTAGGCTGTGGCGGATATTCAATTGCAATAATCTGTTATGTTTTACTATATGCTAAGCAGAAAATTATTTCTCCGAGTATGCTTTGCAACAATTTTCTTTCTCAACCTGCTCCATCCGACACTACCTTAAAGTTAAATATTTAAAATGATTGTTTCGTTCTTCGACTATGCCGACATCTTTGTCAACAATAATAGTTAACCTTCAAAATGATTGAAGTCTTGACGTAAAGCTCCAGCAAATCTATCGGCAGATCAGACCGACAGCTTTCCAAAATGTTCCGAGCATATTCGGCTACTAAAGTGCCGAATCTGCAGTCCATTCGAGCCGTGATGAGAACACCTTATCTGGAAGCGAGGCTGTGTAAAATTTAATGAAAAATATCATACTACTATGGAAGAATTCAGCGACCAGTCCTTCAACAGCTTAAACGAACTATGATGCACACAACTCATACATTTGAGTACGGAATGTATGTTTACACATACACACATTTGGGTACAATAGAAGTAAACAAACCTTTCTCTATCTATCTATAGCTGTGTGTGTTTGTGAACTGGAGACATTTCCAAAAATGATTTCCAGCTTTGATATTGTCCGGCATGAGATGGACGAATTCTCAGCCAGTTTTGCCCCTAAACGAGGAAGCAGGTCTCTTGGGCTGCTATAATCGGAACGTCGTATTGAAACCAAACGTCTGCAGCAAAAATGCAAATCATTTCACATGAAATCAAAGTGGCTACATCATTTTTTCGTGTGAGATTAATGGAAGCCCACTTTTTCTGCGTAGCTACAAAATGTCTTTGACGAAGGATCGAGTTCGAAACAAGAATCCAATCTTGGCGTCTTTTCTGCGTGGCTGTACGCTTAAATTAGTCTCTCATCTCCCAGCATTCTCTATTTCTTATCATGTTTCTGCCTCCCCATGCGTAGTTTCTCATTATTTACACCCATTACTCTAGAATATTACGGTTTCCATCATGGAAATCGTGTTTAGTCGACAAGAATGTTCCACTAAAGCCAATCGACAGCTGGTCGAGAGAAATCCTCCGTCGTCTTCTGTTCGAACCGACCTTTGAATCTCCTAACCAAACACTTTCACTCGAAATGGAAGTCAGCTTAAGAATTATGAAAAAAGAGATTCCTCGAAACCCAACTTTTCTTAGCATCTATCCATCTTGGCACCACCTTTAGCGACCAAGAGCAACCAAATTATTATTCAAGAATTCACGAAAACTACTTAAACCCAAAACAAGACTTGGGAATCTTGTCTCGCAAATGGGAGGATCGAATGCAGGTGGGTGAGCAGTGGCTAGTTGGGGATTGGTGCTTTATTCGTGAGTGAAAATTTCCTACTGAAGATGTCTGTCACCGCGGGACCGAGGAAATTGGGTCGCAGAATTGTGAGCCGAAGACTTATTCGCCCAACTCAACAGTCTCGACGACAGACAAACCTCTTTCTCTTGACAGCGGAGCCGACACGTTTAACCAATTCTTGCGTCGAGATGGAAAGTCCAGTCAAGTTGAGGTTCTACTCGTTGCTCTTTCCAGCCGAGTGATCCTACTTCGTTCAGATCAGCGCCTGTACTAACCAGACCCATTCGGGCGACTGAGATCTTAATAACCGTTGCATAGCAAAATTAGGCTTTTGGGCTCTAGGGGCTTCATAATTGTTGAGCTTACTTCCATTTCGAGGGAAAGTGTGCGGTAAAGAGATTCGAAGGTCGATCTCACCAGAAGACGATTACAGATCTCTTTCGTCTCTTTTGGAACATTCTCGTTGATGCTGTTTCCGAGGTTGTCTCCTTCAATTCCTGTAAGAACTTGCT